TACTGGAGAGTGCGATGCGCGGCTCGCTTGTCAGCTCGGCGCTGGGCCCACTTCCACAAATACTGCGCGGCCCTGCTCGCGGACTGCACGCGCTTGTCCTTGCTCCAGCCTTAGATGGTATAACGTGTCAGTTGTGACTCTCCGAGCTGTTTAAACTTTACCTGGCACATCAGTAAAATAAATCTTAGCTCTTCTAAATCGGTTATTTAGTTTTGGACTCGCTGTCCAAATTTAGACGTGTTTTTGGACAGGATATCACCTACCGAAGTCCGGCAGGGTATCAATACATTTACACATAATACTAGGGAAATTGGACTGCCAGAATAATGGATAATGCTGCTTGTAAATGTCTCTCTCTTAGGGCGATATCTCAGAAGGGAAGTAGTTCTCGTTTCTTTTTCCAAACGCAAGCCTGGAAATCATGAATTACGTTCCACGAGCCCACTGGGAACGGGTGTCGTGATACTTCAACTACTAGCGAGGGGCACAGGCCTAAGCTAAGCTAGATAAAACCATGTTTGGTCTTGGTTTTAGCTGGATGCTCAGCACACGCATCGTAAACCCCAGGAACAGTTTGGCTTTGCCGAAATTTTATGATCCACTCCCTCCCTCGGCATATGGTTGCCACAACCACTCTGCATTTACCTCGTACTCAAACTCGGTACAGTAGTGAACAGGAAGAACCCGTTATTCTTTGTCTAGCACAGGCTCGGAACCCAATGCCATTTCTCCATGATTACTCACAAATTTTGTGCGGACAATCTGACGCTTTAAATTCCGAGTCGAAATCCCAGGAGCCACACCAAAACACAGCCGCACGATCAATAGCAGCCTTACGAGCTTTGCAAGATAGAGGGATAACCGTATGTTTGAAACATGCCGCTCGACTAATTACGGGGTACTTCGCTCAATTCTGACAGAATTCTAAGTTGATATTTATTATTACGATGTGTGACATCTCACAAATTGCTTTGCCTGTTTAAACGCGCCGCCTCCGCTGAAGGAAGGGCCAGGGAACGCAGATTTCAACCTGTAGACCTCAGACCATCTGTCTTTATTTTTATTTCGTTAGAGCATCTTCACCAGTGCTGCTATCCTGCTGCCAAAGCCAAATTTAGCTGCGAAAAATAGCTTTTACGCCTCCACCACTCCCGCTATCCAGGTGACAAATTTAGCTAGAGGCCTTCTAATGCCAAATAGGAAGCCAAATTTGGCCTTCAGAACAGCAGCGGCCAAACAGCGGCATGCCGAGTAGCACAACGCCTTCGAAGGCGCGAGGGGTCAAGTACAAGCCTGTCAAGGACAAGGTGTTGTGTGAAGCGTGGTTGTCCGTGAGCTGCGACCCAATAAATGGCATCTATCAATCCGGCGACGACTTCTACAACAAGGGTAAGGAGGCTTTTGACACAGAACTCGCTCGCCTGAAGTCGACCGTTGCCGAACGCCCCGTATCCTTACTCAATTCTCGATTCCAAACGATTTCTCAAGCTGTTTCAAAGTTCGTCGCCTGTCATGAGAAGGTCCTCAGAGTCTGCCAAAGCGGGCGATCCCCGTCCGACCAAGAACGTGATGCAGTGGCATTGTATGAGTCCATTCCTAAGAACGGTTCATTTAAATTCCTACAGTGTTGGCACATTTTGCGCGACTCTGAAAAATGGGGGGCTTGGCGCACCTCCAATGAAAAGTGACAAGGCAGCAAACGCTCAGCATCCGTGCGCGATCGGAACAGTTCTTCCAATGTCTCTCTTAATTTAAGCGAACGATCTCCTCCTGCTGAAACGGTTCGGGTCCAAGGCGAATCTGAAGAGCCGGGACAAGGCGTAACCCGAGCAAACCTTGACCGGGCGAATCAAGCTTTGTATGCACGCCAAGTCAAAGCCGCAGAACGCGCTGCAGAAAATACCGAAAAGCGCATTAAAGTTGCCCAGGAACAGCTTGATCTGACCTTATTTACTGCGCAGGCGGCGCCAAACGACCCCCTCGCAGCTGAATATTTGATGTTGAAAAAGCAAGCTGTCCTAAAACGACTTCGTCTTGAAGCTTTGAGTGAGCCGTCAGGGTCATCGATTTCACTAGCTGCACCAATGAATACGGGCGAAGATGTATCTGGTAACGGTGACGCGGTAGCCACCCGCAGCAATGCTATAGCTCAATGCGTCGTCGACCCAAGCACACACGGATTGGCAGTCGCATCATCTGATGCAGCAAATGCAGTTCGTAGCGAGTCAGACATTACAAGCAGCACCGTAGTATAAATGCTCGTGGACTGGGAGATTTTTTATGGAGCTACTAAATTTTCATTAATAAATTCTTTGATTGACATCTTCGCTTTCTTAATGTTGTAAATGGAAAATACGTATGGTCGAATTTATTTAAGAGTTCCGTGTACCTGCCAAAGGTGCTCGATTAAACCATCGCGGAGACGCACATGGGCACGTGCATTCCGTAGCTTCGAAGTGTGGACAATCAATTGCTCGATAGTGTCGTGACCCGAACCACGAGCCGGTCGCGATACTGTAAATTCCGGAAGTCCCCCAGGGTGATTACGAACATCAAATAGAAAGTCGATTGGATCTGAATCCCGTAAGTGACGCTCATCTTCCACAATCATGTTGTGCATGATGATGCATGCATGCATCACTTTGTCCATTTTGGCAGTGCTCCAAAGTTCACATGGCGTATCTAGAATCCTCCACCGCGCTTGAATCACCCCGAAGGTCCGTTCTACATCTTTCCGACAACCTTCTTGATGCTTTGAGTAATTCTTGCGCTTTTTATCTATCGGCTTCTCGATTAACTTTACAAATACCGACCATTCAGGATAAATTCCATCCGCCAGCATATAGGGTGTATCATAAGAGTTGCTTTCAAGGTAACATTTTGAATTAGTTTTTTTTCCGCTCACAATACGAATATTTTACACATACCATTGACATTATACGTGACTTGCAGTGCTTCGCCTCGAAGCATGCTGTCAAAGAGAGGGGACTGCTCTAAAATAGTAATGTCGTTCAACGAACCAGGAGAACCGAAATTGTAATGCCAAATTCGCAAGTCATAGTCCGCGACTGCCTCAAGGACTTTTGTAGGCTTCTTTTCCTTTCGTTCGTGTTGGCCAGCCAGCGACATTGGGCAATTCTTCCATACCCAATGCAT